CGCGCCCGCCCGCTCGTCTGCCGCGACACGACAAGCTGCGTGCACCCGCGCAGCCCGGCACGCCCGCCGCACCCGCCAAGGACACCCCCCTCACTGGTAACCGTACCACTCTTTAGTCTTTGTGAAAAATCTATACACCAAGTGACATAACAATTTCCTCACTTTACTGTACAAGCGCAACCTTTCGCCTTATAACTTAGGTCTCGATTCACGCGTCGATTTGTGAATGTTTGAAATGCCAGGTTCATCAATCAATCCAAACTAAGTGTACTGTAAAGTATAATTTTCTTGCTGATTAACATTTATGCTGACTTATAACTAGTATGTATTTTAAAGAATCCTGTAATGCGTGTTGCAGCTGTTGCCAGCAGCCCTGTGACAGAGGTGACAGTGGCGACTAGCAGCCCGGCACTGTGCGCGTCCATGTCCTCGCCCGAGCTGAACAGCACGGGGGCGAAGTCCGAGGTCGCGCTGGAGCCGCCACCAGACGCCGCGGAGAGCCCCAACGCCACGCAGAGTCCGCACGTCGCCTCCGAGACTAGTAGTGACACCGGGGTGAGAATATACTCTTATGTTGATTATAGGGGAAAACAAAAATCTGATACAAATAACAATTAAAATAAAAATTCTACGTTTTCTCTTTAAGGAGCTGATGTTCACGGAGCTCGAGAGCTTGACAGAAGATATCAATCCCACCAATGTTGACGAGAACTCTAACGAGGAAAACGATGTCGACGAGGAAACGATGTCTGGTGAGTGTGAGGTTTACCATGTGGCTTGTATTGGTTTGAGAACGTTCATGATCTAGAGTATAGTTAGAGGCAGTACATACGAAGAACATCTTGTATGAGCTAGAAAAATCATCCAGTGGCATTTTACCCCAAAAGATCCCGCCTCATTCCAGTTCCAACCTTGATAACCCATCCATCCTTGTCCTATCCTCATTCCCATCCTCGTAACGTTGTTACCTCCCGCAGACGGGTCGTCGGGCAGCGGGTCGTGTGAGTGGTGCGCGCTGGGCGGGTCGCCCGCCTCGCCCGGATCCCCAGCGTCCCCCGCGTCCCCCTGCTCGCCGGGCTCGGAGCGCGGCGGGGGCGGGGCCGGGGGTGGGCGGGGCTTGCCGTGCGCCCGCGCCGCCTACCGCCGCGCTCGCGCCCGCCCCAAGCCGTACGCGCCGCGCCGCGCCCCCGGTTGCGATGCTTGCGAAGATAATTATCAATAAACACATAGAACATGAACGTTCTCGCGTTTTAAATGTGATTCGGAAGAAGTTCATAATCACTTTTAGTTCATTTTAAATTAATGTATTTTGTTCCTTCATTGCATTACACTTCAAAAATAAACTGTTTCGTTGTTTGACTAAAGATTTCGAATTCCTATTTTGTTAACTTAAAAAATTCTAACGATGAATAGTAAGTTGTATTAACATTTTATCTTTTGTTTCTATGAATACTAAAGATATATGATGTAAAAAGAATTTATTTGTCGCTGAATGTATGTAACAGAAGGGTTGAATATGAATTCCAGGCGAGAACGACGTGGAGGGTGCGTGCGGCGTGTCCGCAGAGGCGGGCGCGGACGCGCTCAGCCGGCTGCTGTGCGCGGTACACGGGCGCGCCGTGACGCCGGCCGGCAGCGATGGCAGCAACCCGCCGCCCGCGCCCGCCGCTCCCTCGCCCGCAGACCCGCAGCTCTCCACCGCCGCCCACACAGACATGCTGCTGCTCAACCTCATGCGCATCAACGGACTCACGCCTAAATACTCCAAGCACGGTCAGTCCCGCTCTCGCGACACATCTCTACCTACATCGTTTCTGATCAGTCAAACTTTGGGAACTCAGTCTTGGCTTCGAACCTTCTTTTCTATCACAGATGATTATCATTTCAGAAAAACCAAAACAGTCTTAAAAGACAACAGGTTAAGAATCACTAGTATTTTTTTTGTAGGACCAAAACGCAGTTGGGCAACGAGTGTGCAGTCGCCCGAGCCGGGCCACAGCGGCGGGTCTCGGTCGCAGCGGCGGGCTGGGAGTGCCTCGGGCGCGGGCACGAGCGGGACGGGCACGGGGGCGAGGCCGCGTGCTCGGCAGACGCGGGCGCCGCCCCTCTCGCCCGGCCAGCTGCGCCGCACGCACGCGCCGCTACCCAACGGTCTGCCATTATACCTGCAGTATTTGACTATTAGCGAGCCACAATTAAAGTTTTTATTTAAGCAGTAGTTTTAAATATTTATCTCATTTAGATATTAATTTCTTAACTAATCCAATGAAGCTTAAATGTATTATAATCTCATGTAGACTGTGATCTTTTGTTAAAATTGTTTTTTTTGGTTTGTTGTATTTGCTTACGTTTGTTTTTTTTTATTGTTTTCTTTTCGCTATTCGGTAATTTAAAGATATTTGAAATTAAAATAATCCCATATTCACCGTAAATTCCAGAGAATGGCTGAATAATTAATCTAAATTGTTTTTTAAAATCTCTTTAAATTAAACTGCATAAAAGTTATGAAATTAGTTTTATTTAAGATATACTGCTCTGTACATTTGCATGCAATTATGAGTTTGCTTTGGTTCTTTCATTTTATTTACATCAGTGGCGAGTACATGACATGATCATGGCGTTACAGTAATCGTTTTATAGTTATGGAATATTACCCATTTATCTGCTAAACACATGCATTTTTGAGATCGGCACAAAAATGAATATCTAAAGAAATAAATCTCATAAGAATAGTTTGGAAAGTAAAGCGGACAATGCCTCGTTATCTCCTTTTCTGCAATAACACTTGAAACACCTAATAACACATATTGCCGCAGTGTGTGTGTTTAGATGTTGATTTGGTTCTGTCCCAGGGCGAGCATGCGGCGGTGCGGCCGGTGCGGGCGGTGCGGGGGGCGCGGGCGCGGCGGGCTCGCCCGAGGCGCTGCACGACTACTGGCGCTCCGTCTCCTCCATCAGCGACGCGGACGACGTCGACGCCATACTCGAGTATAATGTTAGTATACACACCTCAAATGTGCATAAGGTACTTTTCTAAGGCGGGGCAAGTCATAATTAAAAAAAAATTACAATTTCAGGATACGCTATTCGACATCCTGCTGAACAGTCTGTCGCTGGAGAGCGGCGGTGCGGAGTGCGAGGAGCCGCCGCCCGTGCAGCCCTGGAGCCCCGCCGCGCCCCGCGACCCTCCCGCCCCGCACGCCCCACACGCACCCCCCGCCGCGGACTGACCGACACCGCGCCGCGCGCGCGTCCGCACCCACCACGACTCGCACGCGACGCGCGCCGCACTCTACTCCCTCGACAGCCCCTACACTGTCGACGACAATCATGCCGATTTTAATGATGACTCCGAGGACCCGACTCCATGGTATGGCACATCGAACAGGCGGCCATCGCAGATCACTCAGATCACCCGCGTCACGCACTCCCCCCGCCCCGCCGCCCCGCGGGGAGCCACCGCTCATCAGTACGCGAGCGACCGCGAGGCACGACGCACGTGCGACTCGCAGCACGGATGCGATTGCGACGAAACGCAAGAAGCGGGTGACGCGCGATACGAGATGTACGACGAGGAACGGAACGTGAGAGTGAGGAGAGGCGAGCGGGGGCGGCGCGCGCACAGCGTGTACTTCGTGCACAACGAGCAGGTGCGCGAGTGCGAGGAGCGCCCGCACCAGCAGTACTGCGGCCACAGCTCGCACGACCACTTGCACTCGCACGACGACCGCCTCGACAATACTCACTACAACGGCAACAGTCCACAAAGCTACCGCCGCGAGTACTACCATTGATTTCTTGTCTCTATTTTGTGATTTATCTCAGTCTTAATTTTAGTTAATGTGCTCACAGAATAATTATTATTTTAGTTTTTTAATACTTTTCTTTGATTGTGGCTTGAATTACCAGTAAGCCACAAGATGTGATTGGAATTATTTTTCATTTGGATGTTTTGATTTATCGAAGGCAGAGAAGATATTGATAACTATAGTCATTAAGAGATGTGACTTATTGTCTTGCTTATGTTAGAGGAAATGCTTATTTTAAAACTTGTTGATACAAATGTCATAATAATTATACTCACTAATGATATTCAGAGAGGAGGAGCATTGTCTCTGCTTGGTTTCGAGCTGTTTATGTTGTCTTTGATTTTTTACTATATACAATAATGTAGTGTTTGTTTTCTGTATTTATATTTATATTTTCCCAGTGCTGTTGACGATAATATCGATCTCTGATAATTTTAAGTTAAAATTGAGGTGTAGTTCTTTGTTCGCTTCCGTTCCTCTGCATGCATCAGTAGAGGGTACGTTGAATAGCTTTTCCCTTACCCTGGCTTGTGTATACTTGATTCATTCCTCTGTACATCATGTATACAGATGAAATATGAAGAGCCAGATATATATGTTTACAGAGCGATTAACTTATTTGACCCGGGGGGCATAAGCTCATTAGCTCCTTGTTGTCAATGTAATAAGTGCGACAAAATCCTTGAGATTGATGTAGATGTGTTATCATTTTCTATGCTTCAGTAGATTTTACAGCGCGTCTCACCGGGTCATGTAAATGTGTCGCACTATATTGCATTTTACGCGTAGTGTACTTGTTATAAGTAATTGTGGATTATAGGTTAAAAATAATAATGAAGATTCCGTCTTAGAAGTGTTTGGAGAGTATTTTAAATGTTCGTAAAAGGTGTATTTGGATATTGCCATAGCTGTTTTCTGTAATAACTTAAATTGATGTTTTATTTTGTAATTTTTAGTAACAAAACTTGTGAAAATGGTGTACCTTCTTTTTGGTCTCATACGTATTATTTTTGTAATATTCGTAAATTATTTTTATTTGATTATAGTTTCAAGTTAATATACAATTTAATTAGTAAATAACAGGCGGCTTATATGATCGTAAGTGTTATCGTAAATATGTAGGCTTTCTTGACGTTCATAGATATAATAACTTAGGTATTGAAATTGTTAGTAATGTAGTTTGTTCCGACTGAAAAGTTCAAATGTGTGCTAGTTTAAACTGACAAGGCTAGATAGTTTAAGTCGCATAATGAATTTGTTTGATTTAGCTTTTAATCAAGCAAGTACAGTTAGCTTCGCTGGCGGTGTTCCAACTACGATCTTGAAACGGATAGCGATCGGAAAATACTGAATTTGTGGAATTCAACTGCCGTTACACTTTCCTTAACACATATTTTTATCTATCTTTCGATCGAAAGATATAAATAAATATCAAAACAAATGTCACGGCAGTCGAAACACACAAAAACTTTAGCTTATTCCACAGTATACAAAAGTTAGGAAAACAGTTTACGTAACAGTTATTATTTATTTAATAAAAACATCGATAACATCTAAAGTTTTTAATTCAAAGAAAAAAGGGTAAAGTTCGTTGCGAAGTGCAAGGATTATTTTTACTGTAACTGGAATACCGCCAACGAAGGTGATTGTACAAATCTTAGTATTGTCACTTATCGAATTTATTATTAATTTCATGATCCAATTGTTTGTGGTGAATAACAGTTGTGTTAAATGTGTTGATCGCTTGTTTATGAGCTATGTGTGAATTAATTAAAAATAGTATTTATTGATATTGATTGTTATCTTTGGAATACATTTCGTGTTCTAACGAACGACGAAGAATATGTGGAATATGTACGATTGAAAGGATAAAGAAAAAAATGTTTTAAATTGATTCAAATTTTATTTTCGTTTCACCAAAATATACACAATGACGAGTATTGAAAATCTGGTTCAAACCAACATTTGCATATCTATTTCATTTGAATAGCTGATTACACGAAGAACACTAGAACATTTGAATACAAATCTGTTTGAAGGCAGGCGAGCGCTTCGGCGCACCACCACACGTGTCTTTTATAGTTTGAATTGCACGCACTCGCCTACCGCCTATCGCCTATCGCCTACCGACTACGTACAAATCGAGTAAAATTAGTAAATTCACTGTTCCTACATTAAATGATATATTTACAAATAAAACTTTAAAAGGAACGCTTTGCAAACATTCAACAAACTTGAGATCGTCTTAACATAAAGATGGTATAAAATTTTCAATAAAAAGTCAATGAACGAAAGTCTAAAACATCATTTTGCAGACGAAATAAATATTTACAAGAGACAGTTTACAATTTTATAGCACGAACATAAACTGCGCCAAATCACGTTTTACATCTTTCGCAAAATAAATAACAATTGAATTTAAGCCTAAAATACTTTTCTTTGATAAACAAAACAATAAAAAATAATTGCATTCAACAAAGCTACGATAACAAATTTAATATAAATTAAAAATAAATGTAATGTACAATTTATACAAAATTAAAGAATCACTCGAGTCATTATCACTGTGGTGCAGTGGTCTGCCGCCGCCACTCGTTGCGTTACCTCCCCTCCTCCTCATTGCGTTATCTATATACAGTGCAGCAGTAGACTCTGCTGTTGAAACTTTATTTAAATGTACATTTATGTTTCTTATATATTATGTATCCACAGATCCGCAAATATCTTATACTTTCAAAATTCACACCGAACTTGACAAAAGAAGGTAACTTCGCTTCGTACAATAATCGAACTTCATTAAAAATTGTGCATAAAAATTTGAATTTTCTAACTATAAAAGGCAATCGGGTGATGTACCAATGTGTTATATTTCATAAATAGCATCTTATATTTAATAATTAAAAGTTACATCTCCATGAGTCGTTTTATACTTCTACGTAACACACTAAAATGATATTGGTGTCGTATCGTAACGATTGCTGTACGATAGCGAGCGGCCGCTCGGTACTTAAGTCTACTCTCGCACTATTTATTCTATTAGCACTATTTTATTAATAATATTATGCTGTTTTGCACTTAACGAGTCATAAGTTCCACATCAACTCCGTAAAAAGTAGTTTAAACACCTACAAAGAGAGTTCTACTACATCGCATTCGTGTAGATTCGTGGAACTGGCGTTGTACGCACTGTACAACAATTACACTATTTTATATGTATATCCGCTTGTATTGTTGCAACGTGTTGCCCGTGTACAACAAGCCTCGCATTCTCTTCATCTTGTCGTCCCTCCGCACTCGTACCTTCCGCGTAAACTCTCAACATCTCAACACCTCATCACCTCGTTCCCATCAACATTCTTTGGCATTATTTAGTGAGCTTAAGTTCAATAACGCTTTCGTCATCGATCCTCTGTTTTATGAAGTAATATTTTAATTTTTGTCAATATATATTTTAAAATTATTGCACTTCATAATAAAATCATTTTGTGAGTTAATTATATCATTTCATACATCTAGGTAGAAGGTTGAAGGTGAGTCGATTAAAGGAAATTATAAATATATATGTAAATGAATGGATTTTCCAATTCATTCAGTTTCAGGTGTTTTGAGTATTATGATCGATGTAATTATTTAAATATATAACAACGGTTAGATAGTTGTGACCTAATTCTATTCAGTCAGTTGAATCGTATCAAAATAAATAGCCTCTCTCAGAATGAAAGCTTCGAGCCGCAGCAGGCGGTGACCCGGCTCCGGTCTCACTTGTATCGCTTCAGATATAAATATACTACATAGATTATATTCGTTAGTCGGTTAAAATTCATTGCAGGTTGTGTTCGAGTCGTGTTAGCACAAAATCATGTATACGGATAAAACAGCACCAAACGGTTCACAGGCACCCACGGGGATAAGGTTTCACAAATAACGTTGCTTCAGCCTGTCCTCCACGAGATCCAGTCGAGCAGCGCGAGGAGGATGCGCGGCGTACGAGCGGGAGCGGGAGCGGGGGCGGGCGCGGGCGCGTCTCAGAGCGTGCGGAGAGCGCGTCAGACGTGCGACTCGAGCGGCGGGCGCGGCGGCGGCACGAGCGCGGCGGGCCAGGGTGCGGGCGCGCTGAGGTCGGGCGAGGAGGTGCGCGTGTGGCGCGCGCCCCACCCGTCCTTGTCGAAGTCCTTGGTGCCGCCGACTGTGTGGCGCCGCTTGATGCCGCGCTCGGGCATGCCGTTCTTGCGCTTCAGCTTTGTGGAGCGCCAGGCGCCGGCCTCGCGCCGCCGCGCCACGTTCCACTCGCACTTCTCCAGCTTGCTGGGCCGGTCCGCCTTGCCGAGCGAGTCGGACCGCTGCAGCCGGTCGGCGCGGCAGTTGAGGCTCTCGGAGCGCAGCACGCGCGCCTCGCCGCGCTCCTGCTCGCGGCTGAGGGACTCGGAGCGCTTGAGCTTGGCGCAGTCGTCGTCGCCGCCCGCGGCCGCCGCCGGCTCGCCCTCGGGCGCCAGCGCGGCGCTGTTGCGCTTCACGGTCTCGGGGTTGGCGAGGCGGATGGGCGCGTAGTAGGGCAGGCGCTTGTCGTTGTCGGGCGCGGTGTCGGCGCTGGAGGCCTGCGAGCGCGTGTCGACGTCCTTGTCGTCGTCGAGTGGGCGGCGCGGCCCGAGGCAGTTCTCCTTCTCGGAGTCGTCGTTGTCGAGCGGCTTCTCGCTGCGATCGCGGCGCGGCCAGTGGCGCGCCTCGTCCTCGTTGCTGCTGGAAGAGGAGTGGCGGAGGTCGCGCGCGAGCCAGGCGGCCTTCAGCTCGTGGGCGCGCGCGGCGGGGGAGGCGGCGGGCGAGGGAGCGGGCGAGGCGCGCTCGCGGCCCAGCGAAGGCGAGCTGCCGCTGGACTTGTCCTCGCCCTCGGCGTCGTCCTGGCACTCGTCGTCCGCGTACGGGATGCTGCCGTCGTCGAGCGGCGACGAGTTGTTGAGGGTGCGCAGCTTCTGGTCGAACGTGCTCGTCAGAGAGGACACGAGGTCTCCGGGTCCTAGAACAAAAGTGAACGTCAGCGGGAGGTCGACGCGGAAGTCGGGACACATAGATAAGCGTGTTAGAGAGAGTTCGCGCGGTTACGTGCGTGACGAGTCAGTCGTTGATTAATGAATGGTATGAATTATGTAGAGGAGGATGGTGCGATGGCCGACGAGATCTATTCTATGAGATGCACGAGCGGAAGCCGTGCGGTCAGCGGCCGCGGCGCGAAGCGTTAGTTCGATGGGAGCGATGAGCTTGCTTGCGCCCGTGCACATGTAAAGGTCCCGGACACCGCAGAGATCGCAGCGGGGCGCAAACAACCTGGCCCCGTGTTATCGGCCTTGCTCCGGTACACGCACACACTTGCAACACGCACGCTCACAATCCTATACCTTTCACGTGGACAAAACAAAGAGATTGCTGTGTCTACTCTCTGACGTCAGTACTGGACACCTAATGGAAATAGTAGACACATTTATTGTACATTAAGTAGCATAAAAATACATAAAAAAAAATCCAATAAAAAATAAGCTATACAAATGATCAAGGTACATTCGGAATGCTTGCTTGAGTAGTAAGCGAGCGGC